TTAAGATCTGGTCTTTTCCCTCTGTCTGAAGTGCAGCATTTTCTGTTTTGTTTTGGTAACTAGATTCAACAGTTTTTCTGTATCCATGGACTTCCGTTACATTGGTCATCTTCTTGGCAAGTTCAGCGTCAGTGACATTTCCTTCGAGATCCGTGTTGGTCATGTCTTCACCACCGTTAATAAAATCTTTTTCTAGTCCTTTACTCGTATCATTTTTAAKTCTGCCCTGCACACCAGACAYGTTATAGTTTTCTTCATTTYCTTTRGTGTAATCTGTCATATGAGTCACTTTTGARGTGMCATTCCTTTCACGAGTTGTCTTATTCCAAGTCTCATCAAAACTTGAATTAATACCCTTTGAGGTTTTACTTAAAGACTCCGTTATCTCTCCATCTTCATCYAACTCTGTTGACCTCCGTACATGCATAAAAGGTTTCGACGAAGGAGTCTTTCCCTGGMCAATTTCTTCAGAATTTTCCGATGAATCGTCTCTGTTAAGATTGCATTGACAATTTKCTTCGAACTTCTCAAAGCGTGAATTATTACTGATTTGGATTTGAACCAGAGCAATAATGATCCCAAATGACAGCACTACGTGGATAACGTGCAAAGGAACGAAAATACGGACATAACTGGACCGTTTAGCGCTGGCATCCATGATTATCCACAAGCTATTGAAAAGTGTTGACGAGCAGTTGGAACTGAGCCCATTGTAATACGATACCCGCTTATCGTAATTCTAAGAAAAGCACAGCTGATAAGACATAATAACCATGGCAATGACATGTTAGAAGTTATGGAATGGTGGATCCTAAACTGTCAAGAAGGGCCTCATCTCTAAGACAGAGGGATTTTGACTGGGAAACGCGGGGAAAACTKACTCGCACTCCCTACATTGCCATTCATACATGAAAGTGACACATAACGGTTGGAATAGGCMTTTTGCATGAAACGGTCACGTGGTACTAAATCCATGCTGGATTGCAAAWTATCCACTAGGATGTTCAAAACAAAGAAAAGTGAAGTTTGACGGGCTGTGTGTTCCTTTTGTTTTTGAGGTTTACATTCTTTTACYATCCATTTTTGCGGATTTAGTTCCAAGTGACCTTTTCATGCATAAAGGCCGTATTATATAAGAATTCGGAACTCACGACGTCTCTATCAATCATGGCTTTTAATTCTCCAGGTACTAATATATAATCGTGAGCATTTACTAAATGATATTATCTAGCTGTATAATAATCATAGATGCAAGTTTTTTTTATCGCCGACGGGTTTTTATTCGATCGACGCCAACAYTCTCCTCAAAAAATCAAAAGCTGGATATAAATCTCACTTGAATCCGACAATCTTTGCGGTCGTTTGCTTGGTTTTAGTTCAAAATCAAAGATGGAGGTTTTTCGTATGTGAATTGCGCAAAGGTTCACGGACGCACCTGTGCATCATATATATCCAGAGTATAATCAGGCGTTACTAGCCGCTCCGAGGGAGCTTGGAACAAACTGACAGGCTAGGAACGTATGGCTACACAATCTCGTTTAAATTTTTCCGCCTGAAGTGTTTATCAGTATGGGTATCTAAAATGTTAAATTTCTACTAGTTATAATTATTAAAGTTTATGAATCAAGAGCCAGTTTTACTTTTCAGCTTTTAAAAGCAAGTTCCCAGCTACATTGCAAATCACTCATGCTATAATGCCAATCCTACTGATTGCAAAAAATGTATTGTTTAAAATGGAGATATACGTTTTATCGTCAATAAAGGAAATTAAGCAAAAAAACGCCTACTTTTTAACATTAAATATCTACTTCCCTTTGGTTACAGAATGGRCGACAATCTCAGATGAATATAGATGATCTATATGGTAAAAAAGCTAGGAAAAGGACGCTTTTAGAATAAGCAACTACAACATCGAATCCATCTGGCTGCAGACTGGCTGAYCGAAGAGAATCTTCACTACAACATCGAAGCGTTAACATCCGCATCCCTCTTCTTACAGAATGGCTACTATCTCAAATAAATACAAACGTTCTACACACGAAGAGGGCAGTTTATAAAATAAAAGAACAACGAAGAACATTGAAGTCAGGCCATAAATCCTAGACCAGCTAAACACGGATCAGAATGATATTGTCTAAGGATAGACGTTTTATCGCTGAAAGAAAGAGAGAGATTGTTGTAAGATCGTCTCGTTCCATAAGCTCCCAAAGCTGCCTCTCTATACAGTACTTCGCTTCTTCGTTCTTCTTCTTCGTCCCTGGCGAACGTGACTAGAACCTCAGGCGTTAAAAGACTCGGTCCTTGCTTGCTCTTAGCACGACCCGCGGCTATTTCAGCTCCTACCTTTAATAAAGCAGTTTTATTTTCCGTAGAGGGTTCGGGCGCCGATTGAGATCGCTTCGCGGCTTCGTGTTTTTGTCCACTATTCTCAGACATCACGCTAATTACTCTAGGCAGGTGTTGCTTCTGTTTTCATCCATAACTGGTTGTAAAAAACACCGTTGAGCGACGCCGAAAAGACCTCTCTTTGACCTTCATAGCTTCGAAGTCGAGAACAGCTCTTATATAAAACCAAACACAATAGATGCATCGGTAATTCGTAAACCCGAAGTTATGGCGTAAAGTGCGCGGTTAATGACGACAATCTTCCGACGTAATACGACAAAATCTTAAAAGTTGAACGAATCCGAATCACCTCGGAATATTACTTCTACGTAATAGTCTAATGTTCCGGCCTGAGAATCTCGGAAACTTGACGGAAATTGTTCAAGTCTTCGGTCGGCGTTCGTTAACCATATTCGGCAATCGTTCGTCACTCGGGAGACAATTTGACGTCGAGTCTCTACGGGTGGGRAATTGCTAATCTTTCAAAACAGGCTTTTTATTATTGCTATGACAGTTATGTTAAGCCCCTGATAGCGGGTAAGATTTTCTTTGGATTTAAAAAATAAGTAAGTAGCCGATGAAATTGAATTTTTGTTAAAATGATATTGGACGTTTTAAAAAGTGCATAAAGAAAATATACACAGGTTTTCAATGATTCAATTCAATTATAAAAAGAAAGTCGTATTTATCAGTAAGTTTACGTCAATAAATGTAAACACTTTAAAGCTGTTTGTTAAAGTGGACCCCCTAAAGCAGTGAAATAGAAACGAGATCATAGTTTGTTTTTTTTCTCATTCCTATCTCAACAGCATTGAAAGTCGTCGTCTCATGTGGCATTTGACGTTTTGAGATGTCATTGGATCAGCTAAACAAATCTAACTGTTTACAACAGAAAAGCTACAGCGTCTTAACCTATAATACTATAGATGGATTCCATCGATTATATTCACTTAGCTGTGGTTTCAGTGGATTTTATCTTTTATTTTTAGTTTTCAATATGAATTCTTTAACGTCCATCAAACCCGGAGAGTATATTTTTTGATGTTAATTTCCTTTTCAAGTATCTTTAATCTCTCTTCCAATCGCTTTTTCAAGTGAAGGACTAGAACTTCAGCTTTTCCATAWGACAGGCGGCTTTTCATATATTTTTGATGCTAAGAAGGGGTATTTATAGAGTACATGAATATAAAAATTCTGAGTCATTCTTCACACTCTATCGCTTAGTATTAGAGCTTTATGTCAATTTTTCCTCGTTTGGGTATTTCGTTTTGTTTAGCCAGTGTTTCGCTGCAGTTGTTTTTGCTCGTTTTTTATCTTTTTCTGTGCTGTTTATTATTGATTTCTAGTTTAATTTGCGTCACRTATTGTTTTGCTTATTGTATCATTTAATTCTATCAAATATATTTATTACTATTTCATGTCTTTATTTTTTAAATGTTCAGTTTGTTTTTGTGATATTCGTTCTGAATACTACAAAAATACTATTATAAATATKTTATTGTATCATTTTTCGTATGACATCACTGTTCTAGTTCTCTAATAACTTCAGTCGAAGAAAGGGAAAGTCGCATATTATTATTATTCTTAAAACAAAAATACCATCAGATTCTCAGCATGATATACAATTGTTTTATTCTGTTGTGACTGAAATATTCAGCGCTTTGACATTTATTCAAAACCACAGGATTATTTTCATAATTTGCTATCACCCAACAAATTATTTMCCGAGCGTTATGACACAGAATGTGTCAAAACATCCACATCTGCCAGAGAGCGGAAATTCCCTTTTTCAAATGCAAATTTTTTTCAAAGGACCTCAAGAGATAAGCATAAAAGATATAGTCTCCACAAGTTACATGCTTTTAGGTGGGGGAAAACAAATTGACTAGCTYAGCTAAGATTTTCTCTAGATCTGATAATGGGAGATCAAGTTTAAAAGCTTTCTGGCTGTATTTTACTGGTTAAAAAGGATCAAAAACAACTATTCGCACGTATATGCGTGTCGTGTTTACATCGATCTCGCTAGTAGGTCTCGTTCAACCATTCATTTATAATTTCATTAATTTATTTACATTAAATATGGAATATGTCTGAACATCTGAGTGTTTTAGCTCTGACGCTATGCTGTTCTTAAGATGTTTCACGTCACTAACGATAGCTTATTTACAAATGTTAGCAGCCAGAATTTATTAAAATCACTGTATGTATAGTTAGGTMATTTATTTTGTCGTTAGAATATTCATTTAGTTATGAGTTATTTTATATCTTCACTTACCACATTAAATTCATTCATTTATTCAATCATTCTTCCATTCGTTCTATTGTTTATTAAACATAAGTACTMAATATTTTTATAATTCATGTGTAGAAAAGTCATTCATTCATTCAAAATCAAAAAAATGAAGTTTTGTTTAATTCATTCAAGTTTCCGATTTTTACAKGATTATAGTTGAATGGAAAATTTTTATCTCTACAAAATAAAACAATTCATTTTTTACAGGKTTTTCATTCACGACTAAGCGTTAAAATTTCTCCTCTCTTAAATTTATATTCTGGCAACAAGCACAAATGACTAGTTTGTACAAGATTGCTCGCTCGTTACCAGGGATATCCTAAATAAAACCACAGGAAGCCCGCTACACATCGCACACAATGGTAGCTTTCCATTATYAACCAACAGTCGGATCTATCATACCATATATGGCTTAATTCGTAGCATTCCATGACATATTGTCACATCCTCTTACTGGCACATCTTTCATTGTCCCCCCGGAATATATGTGAAGGTAGAGGTCGTCCAGTGGGGGTTCGGGGTCATTGAGAGCTGATTTTACACCATCGTCGATTTCCTCTTTTGCTTCGTTCTCGATTCGCTGAAAAGGAAGGGAAATGTACTGTGAATGGTTGAAGAAAAATGACTGACAAAAAATGAATGGATGGCGGGAAATTGAAGAGATGAATGAATGTTTAATKGACAACACTTCTTCGCCATGTTTAAAATGTGTCAGCCGGTCACGGTGTCATGCAATCCTAGYTAGTATGCTCAGCCAATCAGCAATACCGTTCGCCTACGAACGTTGTATTTCAAAAAAACAACAGACTCCAGCAGGCGTTCCTTCCATTCCTCCTCCCCATCCCTTCTCGACCCCCCATCAGGAACGTCTGTCAGTCATTTCTTACGTGATGTTTACCTTAATATCCTCTGTGTCTGCTAACCCAGACTCCAACAGTGTCTCTCTTAGAGATGTGATTGGATCCCTTGTCTTACGCACTGTCTGTATCTCATCTCTTGTACGATAGCTGTATAGAAAACACACAAACGATAAACCATTTTAGTGATGTAAAAAAAGGCCGTTGTTAGGCGAATGTTATTGTTGTAAAATTGATCAAACGTTTTGAAACACAACACATGTTGCCAATGTGATGACAGAGATAGTGTAGGAGGAGCCGAAGGGTTTCTAGGAGAAATATATCTGTTCCTATGTCCCAGCCAGCTGTAAGTCACAACTAGTTGCCAGCGAGAAATTTTGGAAAAGAGAACTTTCCAGGCAAGGAACACTTCTAAGAATTTTTGAAATGAAAATAAAAATTTCCTAACTAAAAAAATATATAAGGCAGTTTTGACTACAAAAACGTTTGCTAGGAACAAAAATATTTTGAAGAAGGAAGGGCGCCACATTTGCTTGTGATATTGTCAACAAAGTAGCTCAAAAACCCTTTCCCAGGAAAAATTTGTACAAGAACAGTTATTTAGAAGAACAGACCCCGTTGGCTCCTCCTGATAATTAATATAAGAGTCATGGTTTGTCACCTGCAAGCTCAAACATTTTGTAAACAAAATATCAAGTGGGTGTTAGTGTCTGTYCTCTCATGTAAACACGGTGGGAGATGGAAAGCACTCAAGCARCAAGAAAAACACTTGCTTCACTTGTGTTTTATAAGATTGCTTCTCCTAGGAACTCCATTTCACACTGTGTGTGGAAAAAGACAAAGAAAGCTAAACTTTCATAGATACCTAGTTCCAGGGTCACTCATACTGTGTCCATAATAACGATATGTCTTCATTTCCATTAAAATTGGGCCCTGAATGAACGAAATGAAAAAATGAAAGAAAGAACAAGTGAGGGAATGAATTATTTTGATACAGTCATGTAATTATTTTGATAGCCTGTCTTTTAATCTATCATTTTATTTGATCACAACATAGCCTCCGTAGCAGACGTTCTTAGCGGTTTGAATCAAACCGCTAAGAACGTCTGCTACGGAGGCTAATCACAACAAAACAAAAAATTGTTTCTTGAAATATGACACAGCCAATCAAAGGCGCTCTTTAGACCTGTCACAACTAAGTTTTCGACGGAGGAAAGAGCACAGAGGAACAAATTTATAATATCTCTATAAAAATATATTACCTTTCCAGATCTTGCATAGTTTGCAGCAAACTTARTAGCTTCTCTCACAGTAAGGACATCCATACCATCAACCTGAAGTTTTCAAAAATATTATTTTAAATGTGATGGGCTTCCTGTGGCCTCTCGAACACAGGCAGCCCAACATTAATTGCAACTCTTACCCTTATGCCTGGAATGTAGTCCCCTCTAGTGTAGTAGTCTGTAGTGGCAGCAGCTCTATCCACTGCTGTTCCCATACCATAACCATTGTTTTCACAGATGAAAATACATGGTAGGTTCCATAACTTGGCCATATTGTAAGTCTCAAATAACTGATAATTAAACAGTGTAATTTTTGTAACTTGATCAAATCAAATTTTAAAGTTGAATGTTTTATTATTTTAATTAAAAAAAAAACACTCATTTTGAGTATTTTTGAGCATAATTACATTTTTATCAGTGGTTGAGTATAAAATCCAATCATTTTTTAACAAATGTATAATCATAGTGAAAATAATGGTATTTTTCTTGAAACTGATACAATGTTAGCCTCCTTTACAGAAACAGCATTGTTTGCTTTTCTCTGCCTAGTCCCTAATGGTCAATATTTACAAAGGAAGCCCAAAGAATCAAAAACAAATTCCAGAAGGATAAGGAATAAAAAACAKTTTTCCATGTATTATACTCTGATAAAAACACGCGGGATGTGGGGAGAACACGAGAGAAGCGTAGGAAACCACKATGCGAAGCTTCTCGAGTGTTCTCTCCACATCCCAAGTGTTTTTATCAGAGTATAATACACGAAAAACTGTTTTTTATTGCTTTTATAAAATAACAAGCGCTCAAATATTCATGATAAAAAAAGCCAAGAAAAAAAATGACACGAGCGTGTATTATGCTCTCATCAGACACGGCTTTTTTGGCCAATCAGAGCGCGCGTAATATGAAAGTTATTTTATAATACTCAGTAAATGAGTCTAAATGTGGTTATTATGTGACATCTTAAAGCAAGTAGCTTACAAGTTAATGACTGTAACTGTGGTGATTGTATGATGTCATACCTGTCCCTGGTTAGCCGCTCCATCTCCATATAAGGTCAAACATATGTTCCCATTGTTCCTGTATTGATGAGCTAGAGCTATGCCAGCACCAAGAGGAACCTTTAGGAAAAAACATGATGGTCAAATACAACTCAATARKTGTTATTATTTGTTCAAGAAACATAAGCTTCATACCTGTGCACCTACAATACCATTTCCACCGTAATACTCATGCCCATACATATGCATAGAGCCACCTTTACCTTCTGTGCAGCCTGTCTTACGTCCTGAAATAAAATGAACGACTTACTGTATATTAATCATCCTCTTCAATGTTCCTCACATCATTTTTAAAGCTTTTATTTAATAAATACTTTTATCATATAATTATCTATGAAATACCAGCTATATTTCTCCATTTTGTTAAGTTGCTATTTAAACAGAATATCACATGGTCGCTTGGAGATATGGATTTTATCTTCTCGTGTTGAAAACTAGCATTCAAAGATTAAATTTGTATCTCTACGCAGCCATGTAATATCCTMTATATCTGTTTAAAAAATTATTATTTGTGCTGTATTATTCTGAACACATTGTAAAAACTAGCTTGTTCACTTTTTACAATCATAGGGCACTGTCTATACTGCATGTTGATGTATGATAATTCATGTTAATTTATGTTAATGTATGTTTAGTTTACCTGTCAGTTCACAAAGTACTTCTTTGGCTGAAACTCCTCTGATGTACGTCCATCCATGACATCGATAGGCAGTAATCACACTGTCGTCTTTCTCTATTGCATTCTCCATTCCAACACAACAGGCTTCCTAAAACACAAAAACAAATAAAAGTTTGAATGAAAGTGCTACTCAACAGGCAATGTGCAGCAACGCCACCTACACAACAGGCTTCCTAAAACACAGGGACAAATAAAAGTATAAAGAGAAAACTAATTAGGAGGAATGTTTTAGCAGACATAAAAAGTATGAGGACTACAACTACCATCATTCTCTGCTGCAGAAAATGGCATCGCTGCACATTGCCTATTCATAACTTGTAATTTTATCATATTTTATAGGTAAATCCATTGGGTGACGGGTAAAGACGTCATCGCACAAATCACGTTTAATCAGATCTAAGGTAGCTTATCGGGGCATTGAATTCAGGTTTCTCAGCGTAGAATTCCACTTGAAGTATTAGATTCTATAATAAAGTACTTATATCAAATAATTAGTATTTTATTGCAATTTTAAACTACCTGCCCAGAGTAAAGATGACAAAATCCTCGAATAGCTTTAGATTTATACAGATTACTGGCAGCWGTCTCCATACGTCTGATGATTTGCATCTGACTGTAGTATTTCAGGCCTTCATCTCTTGTAAGCACTGCTTTCTTGGGTAGTTCGTCATCAAGGCGATGAAGAGAAAACTCCTGATAAGAATATATTGATACATTTAATACTTTAGCAAAGTGGTGAAAGCGTTGTGCCCTAGTGGTTAATTTATTGGACTTCTGACTGTCTTGTCTGGGCTCGTTCTGAGTTGCAGGTGAGTTTGTTGTGGTCTTATAAACAAGGCTCATAAAGCTTTTTACATGGGCTTCCAAAGGAAGACCATGTCTTAAATTACCGACGTTTTTCGTCTGTGGTATGCTTCAAATTATATCCGGGACCTTTTCATTTTTGATATCTATTGTCTTACTGTCATTCATGTTTCTAAGCAACGATTCAAACGTCGCCTCGTGCTTCTTCGGACCTTCGTATAGCCGGCAAAGTTTTAAGATCGAACATGTCGAACGCTAGATTCTTTTACAAATCCACACACCATTCGCGGCATAGCCACACTAAAAAAATTCGAGCGTTTCTCAAAAGGGCATTTGGAGAGATACGGCGAATTTATCGTGAATCTACCGATCGTGAATTAATATCTATCACACATAAGCTTATCAAAAGCAAACTTATACTAGTACCGGCTCTACAATCACCAAGGACTTATCTAAGACATGTCAACAAATTTATACTGAGGAAAAACAGAAAATACAGCCACGACGTCCACGACTCTTAAAGTAACGGCTCGTCAGACATAAATTACTTCTTTCACAATATTATTAAATTCTACTAAGTGCATTGCTTGTTTGATTATTTTTCATTAAAGGAAATCTTTTTTTGCTGTTGTCTTAGTAATATTAATTTCATTAAGGTTCAATATCATTTACTGATTGGGATAAACCACAGGAAGCCCATGTAAACGATCGCTGATCGTCTAGTTAATACTTAGAAACATAAAACAGCTAACTAAATCAATAAACTCTACACTTACTTTTAATTCAAATTCAGCCTCATTTACTGTCCCAGCATAACCTCTGATACCAACAAAAGCTGCTGATACCTAGATACAATAGCAAGGAAGTCAAACGTGAAAACCATAAGCTTAACGCAGGTAGGTTTCTTGCAAAAAATAAGATTAATGAATCAAAATTGTTGCGAATTTTACAATACAGAAGCAGTAATCTAAATAGCAAAGCATAAATCAWTCTCTSATGAGGCACTATATACAAAGCRAAGCTGCWTTGTGTAGTAAATTGTACGTGTACAAATGTAAGCTCTTGCACGGCTCACAATAAGTTGAATAGTAAACTTTATAAGGGTGTTAAACATGCTCTTTTTATATCAAAATTAATATAATAGCAACCAAAAATTCTTTTACAAGAATACTCACATGTTTAGGTAAAAGATTTTGCAGTCTTAAGCTCTGAATACCTCGAGTTAACATGGTGAATTTTACTTAATTTCGGTAAAATCCAAAACCAAATCAAAGATGGCTGCAACCAAGCAAGGCCTAGACCCAGTCCTACTCAATATAAAGAAAACCACAGGAATCCCAAGCAAACTTCTTTTAAAAAGTACTCCAACGGAAGGAAGATGAAATGCTGTTGTTGTCGCAAAAATTCCGTGATCTCGTGATTTACTAGGTAAAAAGTTAAAGCGTTTAAATTGAAGCTCACTGTCTTCGTGTTGTTCCTGGGACCTCTAACTCATCTTTGCTAAGTGAATCACGGCATGCCATGCACGCTTGTTTGATTCGATGTAAAATGTAATRTGCGCAATCCATTAAAAAACAGCTTGAGCAGGCCAACTTTTTTGTGAATATTGCCATATTTGGTCAAACACCAGCTGGAATACAGGTTATAGAAACCAAACGTGCTATCGATGTTTGGTACGTCTTGAGATTTTAACGCGATTTCAGTGGAGAATGATGACGCAG